TAAACGCATATGCTTTGCATTTAATATCACCTCTTAAAAAAAATGATTTACAACAATGTAAAAAAAAAGGGGCGGGCTAGACTACATTATACAGACGATTGTATATAAGCTGTAATATTACACAGTGATGTAAGCTGTACTATATTTATACAGCAAAGTAAGACTTGTACTATTGATTACAGACAATTGTAAGTGTGTACTATTTATAAGAGATTGTAAGCTGTACTATATTTAGACCAACTCACAGGGAAAGGTAGTTTGGTAGTTTACTCAGGTGTTGTTATTTGTGGTTGAGAGGAAAAGAAGGAGGGGAGTCGAGTTTGCTGTTTGGCGGGTGGTGACGCTACGTGGGGTGGGTGGCGGGGCGGCGGCTATTTGCTCACGGGTGGCCGGTCCGGGCTCGGGGCTTGGGGGGTGGGGTCGCGTAGGCGGGGGTGGTGGGGGGTGTGGGGGAGGGCCGGTGTGGCTGTTGGGCCGGGGGGGCGCTGGGGGGGGGAGTGGGGGCGGCGGGGAGTCGTGGGGAGTGGGGGCCGGGTTTGGGGCGGTGCGTGGAGTACCTCGGAGCGGGGTTGTGGGGCGGGAGATCTGGGCTCCGGGGCGGGAAGGGGTTGGGGGGGGGGATTTGCGGCCGGAGCCGGGGTTACACTTCGAGCTCCGGGGGTGATTCGGGCCCGGCCCCTGGGGCGTTTCTTCCTGGATGTTGTTTTATTCTTGTTGTTTTGGGGTGTCATTACGTTTTGAGTTTTTTTTTTTCGTGCGGTGTTTGTTTTTTTTTTACTGTGGTGTTTTTGTTTTTTTTTTTTTTTTTTTCAGTGTTTTGTTTTTTTTTTGTTAGTTTTGTTTTTTGGCTTTTTTTGTTGTTTTGTTTTTTTTTTTTTTTTTTTTGTTTGTGTTTTGTGTTTTTTTTTGTTTTTTGTTTTTTGTTTTTTTTTTCTTTTTTTTTTTTTTTTTTTTTTTTTGTTTTTTTTGTTGTTTTAGTACCTCCACACACCTATCTCCTCATTCAATATCCCTGCCCACAGCCGAAAATATTCAGAGAGAAAAGGGTTAAACGTGAGGAACCGCTTACATAATTATATAACTTTCTAGAATTTTGCAGATACGGAATGTTTTAAGCGCATGTCTCAACAACTTGGTAGCAAGGAAAGGCAAGCAAGGCAAAAAAACAAAAAGTCAACTACACCCAGGACAGAATTGTATGACAAGTACACCAATGGAACAAGTCCAACAGTAGTAAGGTGTCCTTAAGTAGGGCTTAAATCTTCTCAAAAGGAAAGAAACACCACGTTTATACAGACGATGTAAGCTGTACTATTTATACAGACGATTGAAAGAAAAACGTTTATACAGACGATGTAAGCTGTACTATGTCCTTAGTTCAGGGGTTAAATTCTTCTCAGGGAAAGAAAAACGTGATTAAATGTGATTCAAAAGAGCGGTGTCCTCATTTCAGGGTGTTGTGCCAGCACGTAATATCTCACCTCACAACCTAATAAGGAAATTGGAGATGGATAACACTACCCTCTGGGGAACCTATATATTCAAACTTACTTTTGGAGGAATTTTTCCTGCTGAATTGTAGGATGAGATATGTGGTCCTCTACGCATCCAACCTCGTTGAAAGTCACGTCACCCTCCATCTGAAAGTGATGCTAACAACTGCTCAGTAGCTCAGTTTGGTAGCGCCCTCTCTAGAACACAGATGGTTTTTGCTCTGCCTTGCTCTGTATGAGTGATCAGCCCAGTCAGCGTGAGCTGCCTCAGATAGCTCAGTTGTAGAGCCTCTCTAGAACACAGAGTGCTCTGCCTATGCTCTGTATGAGTGATCACAGCCCAGCCAGCTGAGCTGCCTCAGTCTAGCACAGCTGGTAGAGCCTCTCGTAGACACAGAGTGCCTGTCTGCTCTGAATCTAAACAGTACAGAAAAACATCCCAGAAAGAATCGTCTCCTCGAGATGTGAACATGGTCTCCATGACTACGTCATCTAGATAGGTGAAAGCGACACATCGAAGGTCGTCGGTCGTAGTGCGATTCGCATGGGGCAGGCCTCGTAGGCCAGCCCGGTGCCAGGCGACTCAGAGAGATGTTAGTTTCAAATTCGACCGAAATAAAGAGTATCCGTTCTCAGAATATATATATGTACTGCATCATTATTATAGGAGTGTAAGATCTCGGTATATAGGTAAAGCGCTTGGCTCGCCCGACCAAGATGGAGGCTACAGAGTGCGACCAGTGCTACACACCAGCGGGGCGAGAGAGGAGCGAAACGACAGACACGACCACGCGAGAGAGACGCACGAAGCGCACGACGGAGCGGGCCGAGAGAACGAAAACGCACACCCAGAACAGTCGCTGTCTCGCACTCCCCTCCCGGCACTCGTATCTCTCTACTCCCTCACCTCTATACTGCTTCTGCCGTCTCTCCAACACATAAACCTGTGATGGGTTATTCAGCGCAAGTGCCAGCGGTCCACATTGCGTCATAGCAAACTGGGGCGACATCATCGTACAGTGTCACATTGAGCGGTGGCTCTCGAGTATCCTCCACTTATCAAAATATTCTCTAAACGTCTGCAGAATTAAGATCAGAAGAGTTAAACAAATTTGACCAGGTGGCTGGGTGTCATAGGCTGACTTTGAGGTGGCACGATAATCACAAAGTGGAAAACACACGCAATTTCTTCAAGCTTTGCGCATTCTTTCTACATTGCCTCTATATACTTGCACAAATGTCCTGCTACATTTTATGCCTAATGTGTGGCTTGTGCGAATGTTTTCTCCCTGCTAAATAGGTTTTGCCTAATGCGTGATGCTACGCAATTGAGCTAAACATTGGCGTTCAACATTGCTTATACTTGTACGTATAACCATTCCTCTTCCATTGTCCGTGCCTTCATGACCCGTGTCGGTGGTTGTCGACATGTTGAGGTATGCGGCAAACCGGGGAGGTTCATAACTGTCATACTGTACTCTAGCGTGTCTTCTCTCTCTGCCACCGTGCAGCCATAGCTGTCGGCCTCGAAACGCCACCATCCGTTGACGCACCACGTAATGAAGAAGAGGTGTCGCGGATATCTAACTTCTGACTACACCCTTTCTGTAGCATGTAGAAATACAGCGTATGTATTCAGTTGACACTGCACACTCAGCTATAGTCAAGGTATCAGGATGGTGGTTTGGCCTGTCCTTCCCCCCACTTGCTTGCTAAAAGTACAAACAATTTAGGCCATCCTATTCTTTCACTGCACACTCCAGCTATAGTCAAGGTATTCAGGATGGTTTGTTGGCCTGTCCTTCCCCCAACTTGCTTGCTAAAAGTACAAACAATTTAGGCCACCCTATTCTTTCACGGCACTCTCCAGCTATAGCCAAGGTATTCAGGATGGTTGGTTGGCCTGTCCTTCCCCCCACTTGCTTGCTAAAAGTACGAACAATTTAGGCCACCCTATTCTTTCACTGCACACTCCAGCTATAGTCAAGGTATTCATGATGGTGGGTTGGCCTGTCCTTCCTTCTTGCTTGCTAAAGTACAAACAATGTAGGCCCTCCTATTCTTTCACTGCACACTCCAGCAATAGTCAGTATTCAGATGCGTTGGTAGGCTGTCCTTCCCCCACTTGCTTTGCTAACGTACGAACATTTAAGCCACCCTATACTGAAACATCCATGCTATACCCGTACAGGGAGGTATTCAGGATGGTTGGTTGGCCTGTCCTTCCCCCCCACTTGCTTGCTAAAAGTACGAACAATTTAAGCCACCCTATTCTTTCACTGCACACTCCAGCTATAGTCAAGGTATTCAGGATTATATGTGGTATATACTTTGAAAAAGGCATGTATATACCTTCGTTTTAAACATGGTAAATATTATTATAACTTACCTCACAAATTATTTCCCTAGCGAGTGGCTCGTACGTAGATATTATGAAATTCATCTGGACTTTCCATCCTTCGAGAAAGTAGACGTGTACTGCTAAATCATGTATCAGCCAAAGCAAGGCCAAAGCAACAGGTCAACTGCACACCAATGGACATATAATATACGGTATGTGTCAGCAAAGAGGTAACGAGGTAGAAAGGCAAACTGGTCAATTACACCCAGGACAACTCTTTCTTTCCAAGGAAAAAAAGAAGAGCTGCCCTGGGTGGAGTTCAAACCCACGGCACTCGGCAGTCTAGGTTAGGGGTCAGACTCACAAAGACACTGTCTAAGTTGACAATGGTAGAGTTTGGCGGGCCTCCATTGACTCCGGCTTTATCGATGACCAGCTCTGTCTCGGAGTACTCTATGGAGTTGTCGTTTAGCAGCACTTTCAGTTCGTCCATCGCCTGAGTGAAGTAAGAGGACACCAAATTACTGCAGAGAGCATTGTGACCTGTGATATTGAGCTAACGAGAGTGTTTATGATACGTAGCCACAGCATAGCTGAGGTGAATAGCAAAGGACAGATAATTTTTTTGTTCACATGTGCTTTGATTCAGTCCAGCCAGCTCAGCTGCTCAGTAGCCAGTTGGTGGACCCTCTGAGAACAGAGGCTCGCCTTGCTCTGTATGAGTGCAGAGAGATAGAGTACTAGAACTAGAGTGCTCTGCCTTGCTCTGTATGAGTGGCTCAGCCCAGCCAGCCGAGCTGCCTCAGTAGCTCAGTTGGTGGAGCCCTCTCTAGAACACAGAGTGCTCTGCCTTGCTCTGTATGAGTGGCTCAGCCCAGCCAGCTGAGCTGCCTCAGTAGCTCAGTTGGTGGAGCCCTCTCTAGAACACAGAGTGCTCTGCCTTGCTCTGTATGAGTGGTTCAGCCCAGCCAGCTGAGCTGCCTCAGTAGCTCAGTTGGTAGAGCCCTCTCTAGAACACAGAGTGCTCTGCCTTGCTCTGTATGAGTGGCTCAGCAGCCAGGTAACAAACACACACCACAGTGAATAGATTTTCCATTTGGACGATGATGGCAACCCTCTTCCACTGGTAAAACTCTATGAGACCCATGTACGTGATGGCAAGGCTGGCATCGGTCGGCAGTAGCTGGAAATATCGCGGGAATAGTTGCCTGTCTCTGAACGCCGGGGAAGACGCAATGCATGATACCTGTGAGAGTGAGTGAGGGAGGGAGGGAGGGAGGGAAGGAAGAGAGGGAGAGAGGGAGGGAGGGAGGGAGGGAGGGAGGGAGGGAGGGAGGGAGGGAGGGAGGAGGAAGGAAGAGAGGGAAGGATAAGAGAGGGAGAGAAAGAGAAAGCCTAGTAAGATTCATACACGACAAGGATTGGATCATTGTTTCAAATGATAATTTCATTTCTAATTCCTTTTCCTCTACAAACTCTCTCTTTATCCTCTTTTCTGTACCTTCAAACGTTGTACAAACCACTTTCCTCTATATACCAACTCTCTCTCTTTGCTCTTCGCCATTTCCTTCTTTCCATTTCCTCCCTCGCCCCTTTCTTCCCTTACCTGTACTAGGTTACACTTCCTGCAAAACATGTTCCACAGACCAATCATACTCATGCACATTTCTACTTTTTCCTCCCTCTCCCCCCCTTTCTTCCCTTACCTGTACTAGGTTGTAATAATGGGAAATCGAAGCCGTTGGCTCGGTTGAGACGGAGCATCCGGACCCAATAATGCCGATCTTTGTAGGCTCTTCGAAAACCTGACGATGGAACGTGTCCAACGCATCGATCTTGTTGCACTGCACAGGAATCGCGAAATTAAAACATTCAGCATTAATTTTGTGGATAAAACAACGCTTCTAAATATTTATACTTTCAGAACACTTCTGAACCACGAAAAGTTAAAGATACACCAGGTCACCATTAGCACAGAAGGGGGGAAAAATTGAAACAGTGACACACATTCCCTATTAGCCAACAATCTGGGAGCTGGTGACCTGTTCAAGGGACATACTTAGTATCTGGGAGTCCGCCTAGCAGGTGGGGCTCTGAAGTGTTTTCCCTAGCCCTTATCACTGTTGCATGCACCTTTATCACCTTTGTTGACATAGCAATTGTAAGCCTATTATACTCCTAGCCTTGTCTACTCCTCGTACTATTACATGTTGGATATCCCCTAGGCAACCACATGTACAAAGCTAGGTACTGGGGGATTGTATCAGCCTATAGAATCCTACATGTGCAAGCAGGGTTCATACATGTCATTTGCCTAGCAACAAATCTGTTGCAGTACCCAGACAGGACAGCATTCGCCCTTACAGGGCTCATCACTCGCCCTTACAGGGCTCATCACTCGCCCTTACAGGGCTCATCACTGCAACATTATACATGCTTTGCATTCCTCACTGTTTCATACCTGCTACAATTATTTTCTTAGGTGTTTGACTCCAACTTGGCAGTTGTCAAGACCTGGACCCTACAATTATTTTCTTAGGTGTTGGACTCCAACTTCAGTTGTCAAGACCTGGACCCTACAATTATTTTCTTAGGTGTTTGACTCCAACTTGGCAGTTGTCAAGACCTGGACCCTACAAGCTTCTACTATACACCCATTTTGCTCTTTGCCCTCCACCTCTGGATAGATCTCTTCACAAGAATGAAATCTGCACATGCATACCCCATTCACCAATGATTATTTCTGCAGAATGATTTCGGACTTGCATTTCTTACTAGCGCATGCGCACGCTACGTGCTGGGCCCCAGAGCGAATTACGTCACTTTGGGGTCCGCAAATACTGATACGCGCGTATAATGCGCGCAGCAGCCCCTGCACCGCGAAAAGGGTGGGGCTCAGCTTATGCTAAAAATAAATGGAACAAGTGGAAAAATCATTTCTTCAAAATGAAGGGGGATGTAGGGATGGCGTAAATTATGAAAAAGAATACCAACAAGAAGATGCTTCAGCCGAAAACAAAAATCATACATCCATCCCTACATCTTTCTTTCCCTCACAACCTCGACTGTGATTTGTTATGAATTAGCTTACACATTAAGTATATTATACCCACACATTTTTTATACAGATAACTAAAGATGTAGGGATGGATGTATGATTTTTTTTTCCGGCTGAAGCATCTTCTTGTTGGTATTCTTTTTCATAATTACGCCATCCCTACATCCCCTTCACTTTGAAGAAATGATTTTTCCACTTGTTATAGTATAATTACAAGGGGTAATGCTACTAAAGATGGATAGAGAGGCCTACAAGAATGCAATCAAGTTTTCGTATTTAGTGACCTTTTCTAAAATGAGTCCCTAAAATACTGTTCAAACAGGGTGTGGGATTATAAAAATAGGTTAAGTATATACCTCCCCTGCTTCCCTGCATTAGCTAAAACCCTGGACTACGTTGTATGAGGCAACACACACTATACATACACTATTCTCTGCTAGCCGTATTACATACGTAGAAAGCGCTGGCCCGATCCAAATTGTTCTGACCGCGCAAATTTATTTCAAAATTATGGACATTTATGAGTGCACTCACTATAGTCCCACAGTGGGTTTTTGGGACTTTGTGGATGGAACGCGGTGTTACGGCTTAATTCTCGAGTGGCACATTACGTGGTGAATGGACAGTTTGAGGTTGACTTTTGTCTTGTTTTGTCTTGTGTTGTAGATTCGAACCCCCGAGCTGCCCTGGTATATAGCTAAGCTGGTAGAGCATGCAGAGTGTCATGGGTTCAAGGGCAGCTCATTTTTGCATGGGATTTAATGTTTAAACAGTGATACAAATGGTTAAAATAACATATGCATGTCCCATTTACATCTACAAAGGCCTTCGAAAACGGAGTTGAGCAACTATATAAAACAAAGCACTGACAATTAGCTATTGGCAATTAGCTATTGGCAGTAAACAGCTTGCTTTGGGACCATTTTGCAGCAACATTTCCTCAACCCATAGAGCCTAGGGTACATACACATAGCCGATATAGCCATCATTAGCAACTGCACAGTTTATCTAAACAAACGGACGATAGCTAGCTACAAACCCACCTCCCAAAACAGTCATTCAAACACACAAAACTGAAACACGTTTGACAGAGTGCAAAAAAAGAACTGTGGGAGTGTGTGTCTGAAAAATGCCATTCAAAGTGTTTGAAAGTGAAACAAATACCATTTTTATGGCAAAAGTCAACATTAAAAAAGCATTGCTTGTAACACAGAGCACTCTGCCTTGCTCTGTATGAGTGATTCGGCTCAGCCAGCGGAGCTACCTCAGTAGCTCAGTTGGTAGAGCCCTCTCTAGAACACAGAGTGCTCTGCCTTGCTCTGTATGAGTGATTCAGCCCAGCCAGCTGAGCTGCCTCAGTAGCTCAGTTGGTAGAGCCCTCTCTAGAACACAGAGTGCTCTGCCTTGCTCTGTATGAGTGATTCAGCCCAGCCAGCGGAGCTACCTCAGTAGCTCAGTTGGTAGAGCCCTCTCTAGAACACAGAGTGCTCTGCCTTGCTCTGTATGAGTGATTCAGCCCAGCCAGCTGAGCTGCCTCAGTAGCTCAGTTGGTAGAGCCCTCTCTAGAGCACAGAGTGCTCTGCCTTGCTCTGTAACTAAGTCTGCTGCAGCTATGTGATTGCCTGCGACTCCCTTATTTGTACTGGTTAGTGGAGGTACTCTGCCCACTCCTTAGCTAAGCAGTAGTTTTGGGATATAACACACATGCATGCAAATCCGAGGCTTTCTCAATCTCATAAAAACCTCGATGGGGGTTACACACTCACACACACTATTAGCTACTCCTCATGCAGAGTGTGAGAACAAGGCAAACTTCCCTATAAAGGAGATTGATTTGATCAAGTATAATTATAGACTATTATTCAACCTCAGAAAAAGAGACACCTCTGAGAAGCATTGTAATAACCTATTGAGCTGCAAAATATCAGAGTGATAAACACTACAAAACATACTAGCTATGTATTAGTTAACGTATAGGCGGCGAGGCGGTACAGGAGATACTCCGAGGCTGTTGACTATACCGGACGAGGGCATATCCCCGAGGCCGGGTATAGTTAACAGCCGAGGAGGATTTCCTGTACCCGCCAAGACGCCTGACGTTAACTGATTTGTAGTCCAACAAGCCAATCACTGAATTTCTGCTGTGTCATCTTGCACTAATTACTAATGACTGTTGCGTAACCTTTGGAAGCCAGACAATTTGCACTACGCCTAGCGCTAGATGATGTGATAAGGACTTCCTGTCCAATACTGATACCGGTGCAGCCCGCAGCCCACAGCTCAGAATACAGCGTATATTCCTAGCACCGGGTTGTTTGAAGTTGGACTACAAAGTCTATTAACACAGTAGGAAACTATGAGTGGTTTGAAAATGTAGTAGGGGACAAAGCAGGAAGCTATACAACCTAGCTATATACCTACCCACATGAGGTTCACTTTTACAAATACTTGATATAGCACATGGCCTAATGCTCACGGAAATTGTAATGGTAGGTAGACAAAACACACATTGGGGCTAGCCTTAGTGCACCACCTGGTAAATGGTCCATCACTAAGGCAAATGTGCAGCAGTATAATGCACTAACTTACCGGGGTGTCCGTTATGACGAAGTGCAAGCTATAACCGGGCAACAGAGTTTCGTCTTCGTTGATGAGATCGAGGGCGAGTTGGAGTCCGGGGAGAGAGTACGAGCTAATGTACTGACCGCTGAAGGACTGGATGAGAGAGAAATAGAGGGGGACGCGGGAGTCGTTGTTTTCCGGCGGATACGGATCTTCCAGGTTGTAGACCGCGGCACTCGCGAGCAATCCACTCTGCGAGACTAGCGCGAGGAGAAGACAGGGAAGAAGCAACGTGGAGTCCATAGCTCGCTGCTATAATATAGCTGCAGCAGATGCGTCCAGACTGCAAAGTGCGACGGTTTTTACCCCGGACACTGACGCACGCTTCCGTCCGCCCAACGCACGCGTCACTTCCGGCGTCACGCGCTGGTTACGTAACTGGGGGGGACGCATGCGCTGATTTTGCCGCGGGACATAAACCTACGGGCTATTCGGAGAAGCGACAAAACACCAGGCGCGCAGCAGAAAATCATTCAAACATTCAACATTTTGAAAGTTTTAGAGGAATATCACTGCAATCATGTCCGTGAACGAGGACGCCGCCTACCGCAGCCCATCACCGACTCCATCGCGCAAGAGACGCATCGACTCACTTTCGCCGCCCAAAACGTGGCCGCGAATCGACGCCCACTGCGAAATCGGCGCCGTTTCTCCGCACGACGACTGCAGCGCTGGCTCGCCAATTTTTCTCCGGGTTCCGGAGCGGTAAAGAAAAAAACGTGCTGTCTTTGGCGGCGTTGGACTACTGCCGACTCACAAACTCCGCCCCACTTTGCAGCGGCGACCAATCGCGTTGCAGGAAGCCCGAGTGCTCGTACGCCGTGCTTATCGGCATCGCCATGCGCGCCGCTCAGTCAGCCGGCTACGGCCCCCGCCTCCCAGTCATCGAAATTTACCGCTTCATCGAGTGAGTTGAAAAAAAGTTACAGGCCGCATAAAACATCATCTGTTTTATTACTTTTTCAACAGGAAAGAGTTTCCGTTCTTCAGAAAGTGCAACACTACTGGGTGGAAGGTATAATAATAGCTACAGGGCAATCATTATCAGTGTTGTATAATACTGTTTTTGTTGTGCTCATGCGTACACAACAGGCACAGGCTTTCAAACAAACCCAGGGATACATGTATATATATTATATATACGTTGAGGGCCCTTGTGTGCTACGATTGGGTTTACATTGGGACACTTTCTAATGAGATTATGAAACCATCTGAGGTCAGAACACCTCACTAATCAGGACACTTCCTTCTGAGATCAGGACACCTCACTAATCAGGACACTTTCTTCTGAGATCAGGACACCTCACTAATCAGGACACCTTCTTCTGAGATCAGGACACCTTACTAAACAGCTTTCCTTCCACCCTCAATTCCATTAAACCACACGAAAGACGATTCTGTTTATCCTTGAAAACCCTTTTAGAACTGCGTCCGTCATTGCCTCTCACTCGGACAGTTCTTCCGAAAGGTCGAGAGGTCACCGACCGAAAGCAGCACCACCAAAGGAAACCTGTGGGAAGTTATTCCGGAGAAGAAACCGCTTCTCGAGCGAGACATTGAGAATTTCATTCTCGAAGAGTACAAGAAGATCTGCCCACCTGAGGAGACTGAATGTGACAAGAGAGACTCTAAGACAATCAGGAAACAAGCGATTCGAAAAGAGGAAGGGTCGAGTAACCGCTCAACTGGTAAAATCCACACGCTTACATCCTCGGTCAAAACCGTGCCACCACAGACGAAAAAGAACCAAACCAATCCACAGACGACCGTTGCAAGTGGCACACGAAATGGCCAACTCAGCCCCTGCATCACTCCTTGTACTGGGGAAAGATCACTAGGGCCTTGCACTGAGCCTTACGACGAGGAAGATCCGTTACCTCACTCAGTCAGAAGTCGAGTCAAGCACACCGACAGTGGAAAAGATTCAGACACATCAAACAACCAATCTGTGGGTGCAGCTAAGAATAGCACAGACGATGTCACATTCCCCAGGCACACTAATGCTTCCGTGGTTACGAAAGGAAAGGGAGATAGGAACGGTTTTGCAAGCAGCAAAGTTTCTAACAAAACCTTCTGCAACAGGATCTCCAAAACAAACACAAAACCAGAACTTATACGCGAAACTCTCAACAAGCAGACAACTCAATTCGTCGACGACGATGAAAACGAGGATTCCCCTTTCATTAACAACAATCACCCTGTCGTCAATCGGGACACGTTGGCATTCATAAACACCGGTGCCGCCGTGTCCAATCGAGCCGGCTCAACGGTGATGTCGCCGAATTTCGTCACGTATGTCGTCGCTCGAACGCCGAGCTGGCTAATGTCAGACGCCTGTACGCCAACGTCGTCTGGACTTACTGCTACAAGAATGAGCCACAGGTGAGGTAGTTTATTGGAGCCCCTCTTATTAGGACACTAATTGGAGAGAATAAAGTGACCTTACAATGGGAACCATTCTCTATTAAGGACACCCATTCTTTCCCCAAGAACAGTATGCCCTGTAATAAGGACACCTTACTAGTATATAATACGGACACTTTATTCTGTCCTATTTGTGTCAGGATTAGAGGTGGTACTGCATTATTATATATACACCCCACAGAAATTGTTGTGGTTGGCGACAACAAATAATAACAACATTCCACAGTGCATTGAACGGATTTTCTTGGAGTATGCAAAATGCTGAAAAACTGCATTTCAGTTACACTCTGTGTCCTTTTCCAGTGTCTTTCCTAACACACCCAGCTCCACACCTCCTCCGTCCACCATCAAAACCTCTTCATCCGCACACAGACGAGGGATACAGCCGCAGCAGCGAGACGACACTCCGCCCGAACTCCGCCCAGTTCTTTTACAACATGCACGACGCATCGCATTTCCTCCCGTCGAGTCGATTCTACTGCCGCCCGCCGCCTTACGAAGACAACCGTCTCAGACGCACAAACTGCGACGAAGACAACGAGGGAGAGGAAAGTGACAGAGGAAAGTCGAATTTGTCGCGTTTCCCAGAGGATTGCAAAGTTGGAAGAGTTGACGTTTTGAAAAGATTCGGGGAAATTGCGGCTCTCTCCTCGGTTGCCAACAGCAACCGAGACAACAAGCCTGGTTGTACAACCGCAGATATCGCAAACCTAGAAAAAGGTGACGAGCGTGCAATAAATAATAATATCCACACCTCACCGACAAGTAATGGATTAGACAGAGCAACTGAAACACGCTGGCAGGCATACCTTCCTCTTCTTGCCCGAGAAAAATGCTACGGGGAAAAATTTAGGGCTACGAATTGCGGGATAGTACCTCAGTTGCTTGGAAACGGACAAGCAATGCTGTCATCCGTACAAGACATTACGTCATTCATAAGCGGTGTTGCAAGCGACAATTACTTGGACGGAAATTGCGATGAGGACGAAGCGTTTTTCGAGGTGGCAAACGAGTGGATGGAATTGACAATTGCACGTGAGGAGGAAGTGATGTCATCGGAATTTGAGGAAATGACATCATCGGCATTAGACGATGTGTACGTATACCTAGATCTCTAGCACGAAGCGCAAATTTTAATCTTTACAGGAATTTGTATATACACAATAAATGTCGGGCATGATAATAGCTTTTATAGGCAGAGGGTTTGGGTACAATGGGATATAATTATAATAATAGTGAGGAAATAGTAAGTGAAATAATAAGATTCAATAAAAACCATAATTCCACTATGTAAATAGTACGGGACAACAAGCCATGATAATAATAGCTTTTATAGGCAGAGGTTTGGGTACAATGGGATATATAATAACAGTGAGGAAAAGTAAGTGAAATAATAAGATTCAATAAAAACCATATTTCCACTATGTAAATAGTACGGGACTTATTACGGGGTCAATAGCTGTTAGCGCATGAAGTACATTTGCTTTAGATTGATCTTCATTAGTTCCCCGTCGAAATTGAAGGTAATGTGGAAATCGAGATCTCGCTGCTTGTACATGTGGGGAGAGAGGGAGGGAGAGAAGGAGGAAGGGAGAGGGAGGGAGAGAAGGGAAGGAGAGAAGGAGGGAGAAGAGAGAGGGAGAGAAGGAGGGAGGAGAGAGGGAGGGAGAGAAGGAGGAAGGGAGAGGGAGGGAGAGAAGGGAAGGAGAGAAGGAGGGAGAGAGAGAGGAAGGGAGAGGGAGGGAGAGAAGGAAAGGAGAGAAGGAGGGAGAGAGAGAGGGAGAGAGAAGGAGGGAGAGAGAGAGAGAGGGAGAGAATGTTGTACATATTAGTGTGTAAATTTGAATCACGCAGCTTGTATAATATTATAAAACAAACAAGCTAACAAATAGAAAACAGACAAACAAGCGGGAAAACAAACAGACCTTGTTTCGGGTGTTGGGAGAAACCGCAAAGAGCCCCGTCAGTTGCTCTCCGACTTTGACGGTCAGACAATCCTCAACGTAGAACACTGTCTGTTTCCAGTGAGTGTAGCGAGCCTCTGGGGCTGGAGAGAGAGAGATGGACGTTTCCGGCAAAGTTTGAGGTGTTAGTAACATTTTCTACTTATATACAATCCTGCAACAGTCTCTAAACTCGATCCAGAAACTATCTCTCAGTGCAGTCCCACCAGACTGTCTAGCCCAGGGAAATTTACTCGTAGTATGTTATGCTCCTATGCATTTATACATATATACATGGGTGCAACTTATATCATTGTGACAGTATACGGGTTAAACTAAAAATGGATTCTTTCACTGTGCCCTATTGTTTAGCTACTTTTAGTAACATTTCTAAATCTTATATGTATATATATACTGACACAATTTCTTCAAAATGCGTTAAGTGCGGCTAGAATTGGGTCGGACACTCACAGGTAGTAATGCCAGTTCGTTTGTGACATTTGGTAAATTCGACGGTGAAGAATGCCACCAGAGCGTCGATATAGTCGTTCTTCTTGGCCGTTAGACAGTACGGGACACTGAACGTCAGGTCTGATATTTGAACCGTGTACAGATCGACCTCCTGAACATGAGAGCATTTGGAGAGAGAGAGAGAGGGAGAGGAGGAGAGAGAGAGAGAGAGAGAGAGGAGAGAGAGAGAGAGGAGAGAGAGAGAGGGAGAGAGAGAAGTGGGGAATCCCAATGTACAGTGGAGTCTCATTATAATTGTGACCGACCCTGGGAAAAGGTACCACTTGGTGCAAAAATTCGAACTTGCGTTAGCGGTACCACGCGAAAGCACGTAACGTAAGCTATACTAGGACACAAACCTGCTTTGAAAACCGGTTTATTAGTGCCGACCTTGATGAGACAAGAGTCGGTGATGATTTGCTGCGGTTCAACCACGTCGACTAGCGGCTCCTTCACGGCGACGTCTCGTATACTGCTCATGTTGAATCCGTACACGCTGTCCCACCCTTTGGAGGGGAGGGGAGGGGAGGGGAGGGGAGGGAGGGAGAGTGGAAAAGTAGAACCAACACAATGAAAAACACTAAAGTGCAAACCCTCGGCGAACTGCGCATGCGTGGTGGGCTGGGCTGGGCGTTTTACTCGCGGTCTCCCGCTAGTAGCTCGCGGAGAGTCTAACACGGGCTAGCTACAGTAGTAGATAGTATGTGGCAGTCGATACACACCCTTCACTGTGGCTTCATGTGCCTCCAAGGTACACAGAGCAAGCGGATCAGGTCGAGGTGAGCCAGCATACTGCGTCTAATACACGCATGCGCACTGCTTATTGATGGGTTGGGCCACGCAACGCTGTTCGCGACCGTGCCAGTTTGTCGCTCTCGAACGCAGTCGTTTCAGCAAAATCGGCATTTTATTTTTCTAGCCCATGTACCGCTAAAGCTGTTGGTATCGCTCATAAGCAGCCTCGTAGCCTGTAGTGCGAGAATAGTCGCGGACAGACACACACACAGACCAACTACTGTAACCCTCGCTGCGCATGCGCACCGAGGGTTAAAAATGTGAGGAAAAGGAAACATATAGATCAGTAAAAGTTGGGAGGAAACACCCTAGAAAGTGGTTGCTCCACGTTAGAATTAAAGGGACACCTTGGATACCAGCCACAGACACATAAAATAAGAATTTATATGTGGGTTATACTTTACACATCAATTTAAAGCAGATACCCATGGCGTCAAAAGGGTTATCCAAAGTTATTTTATAATTACTATATATCAATCTGGGGGAACTACTTATTCATTCTTTGGGTCCTTATTCGGAGGTTTTTGCTCTACGCACTCACAGAATATCTTCTCGTCTTTGTACTTTCGGTCCTCGATGGCCGTCAGGTAGAGACAGGCCTTGTCCGGGAACAGAAGACCACCCGGTTTCTATGGCAACACAGACAAAACAGCTGTCAACACGGGGGAAAACTCCACCTCTAACAACTTCCAATTTAACCCTTTGGGTGCCATGGGTATCGCCTTAAATAAGCAGAAATTGATGTATAATTAACGCCTAGTATTATAGCCATATATACTGATGGACTTATGGAGGCTCTGGGCATATATATATAATATGCCTGTGGCTTGCTAAGGGTTAAGTTTACACGAAAAAAAGCAGAAGAAAGCATAAAAAATTGTGGAAGAAGTGTGAAAACTGACCAGCCATTTGTCTCTGGCGTGAATGACAGTGTCCAACATTGACTCGTAGAACAAACAGTATCCCATCCATTCCGACACTATTACGTCAACCGAGTCGACGGGTAAATCGATTTCCTCGACTTTGCCCTTTATGAGGGTGATTTCTGTGGTGTGCGTGTGTGAGTGTGTATGTGTGTGTGTGTGTGTGTGTGTGTGTGAGTGTGTATGTGTGTGTGTGTGTGTGTGCGTGTGTGCGTGTGATGAGACATAAGCTATTATGGCTAGCATTACATACCAACACAATGTTTACTTCAACTTTAGTAATACAAGAAAATTGCGTGAGAGTTTTGTCCCGTACAACAAAGTTGTGGGGTGCTCACGCTCTGATAATCCGTTGTCCTTGACGATGGCCTTGGCATGATCAATAATTGACGAGCAATCGACCTGCAAGATATGATGTCATTCGTGAGTCTACTGCCATAGGTAACTGCAAATAATATTATGTTTCAGGCCCAGTAGCAAATAAAACTGGTGAGAGTGAGAGAGCGAAGAGAAGAAAGAGGGAGAGAGGGAGAGAGGGAGAGAGAGGGAGAGAGGGGGAAGGAAGAAAGAGGTGGGCCTAAATGTTATTGAGGATCCACTGACGTGCGCCACAGAATGGATGATCAACCGCAAAGTGGTAGAGAGTGATGAGAGGGAGGAGAGAGGGAGAGATGGAGGAGAGAGGGAGAGAGAGGGAAGGAGGGATCACTCGGCGAACTTACAGCATACACGTGCTTTGCTCCAGCCTTCACAGCGAACATACTGAGTATTCCGGTACCACATCCGACGTCCAGCACCGTCCGACCTCGAAACAGGTGCTTGTTGTGGTACATGGCGTTTCGATAGGTGAGCGTTCGGACCTGGTCTTTCAGCATTTCTTCATGGATGCCTAGAGTGGTTTTAGGCAAAACGAAAAAAAAAAACGCTGAACGTTACACACAATTTCAACTTATATCTATGGATAGCTTGCTAAGGTTGAAACAAGGTATCTGAATGCCATACACCACTCCATGGAAAGGTAAGCGCAACCCAGTGTTAGTTATATTCTGTAAAGAAAGAAACGAGAGTTTTACCGAAATGAGAGTAAGAATCAAAGTAGTAATCTCGACTGGTTAGCTCCGACCCCGGGTCAGGTGATCCCTGTGCTGTCGTCGTGGTAACCGCCGCTGCCGTCTTCATCTTCTTGGCTTCTGGAACCTCCTGTTGTGATTAGGAGGGTGGGGCAAAGGTGAATCGTAAATGAGTCACAAGATACGTTTCTACGGTCGAGGCAGAAGTGTCCCATCGTTGTCAGGGGTGTCCATAACCAGTAGCTCAGTGGTTTAGTGTTCAAATTGCCCTAACAGAATTCTCATGCATGTCACCAACAAAAAGACTATATATACCCAATACTAAACTACTTTACTTCATTAAACACTAGTCGAAAGTTGTATTCGCCGTAATCTAGCTAGCCAAAGACATAAAATAGGTCATCCAAAACCGACCAAATCCGGGCACTATCTCTCTCATCTTTCTCTGCTCCACGTGCCTTAGCATCGAGAGGCTCTTTTCCGCATTCTCTGTGTCCGGGGGCGACGTCCATCGCGGCGCTAGAGTCTCCTACTGTTGCCATGATGATGATATCAGCTCCGCTTCCACTAGCACCGACTGGACTGCACCGCACGCGGAAGAATTTCCAAATAACGCCCACCAAGCTGCAGGATCTTCGATTCACGCATGCGCACGGAAGCTAAGCAGTCAGCCGTGTTGAAACGACAAGCCCCATTATACGGGTGAACTTGGGGATGATGCTTGATTATTGTGTCGCTGAATCGTCATTGAAGATACAGATTTTAGTTTAATTACACCATTTGCACACTTACATATACAGTGAAAAATCCAGCATCAAATGCACATATATACACTTGAAACATAGTCAATGAGTAAGAGGCGTGTTTTCGCTATTGACGATACTGTCGTAGCCGTGGTGACTTCCCGATGATCTGCGACGAACCACAATGTCGATCTTCATTCGTTTGAAATCGGGGTGAAAAGTGAGGAAGTATACCAGAAATGTCGTACTCATCGCCCATTCACACGCTGAGCTGAGGACGTGATATGCGAAACCCTGACAGAAAAAATGAAGAAAGAGAGTTCAGCGAGAATCAGACGCGAAACAATAAATTGACTGAACTTATGATGTCATAACTATTGTGCAAATATGCACCTGCAGGGAGGGTGTGTGTGTATGTGTGTGTGTATTATATATATGGCATGTATAGAGACTGTGTGTGTGCATTATATACATGTCAATCCCTATATACTAAGTACTACCGTACTTAGTGATATGGCATGTATAGAGACTGTGTGTGGGTCGAATAAGTAAAATTTCCTGATTTTCCATAATCCTGAATGTGGTAAATAATTCCGAATGAAAAACGGCACACACCTTGCAATACAACTAGCTCCTATATAAACTAACCCCATCATGAGTTGACCAATGAAATGTACCGTGGCCGATATGATGACGACGACGACTACCAGCCAGACCCGCAAACAGAGTAGCTGAGAGTGATGGGATGGGAAGAAGTGGGGGGAGGAGGGAGTTGCACGAGCGGTAAGGGTACGATTGGTCTGTGGAACATGTTTGCAGACAAGATGGACGATACAATACTGCTGAATATACATACTACATACTACTGCGTGCAGAGCATAGTAGTTCAAGTTTGCTTTCGTCTTGTGTTGCTGATTTGAACACCATTATGTCTGCTGAGCTGCCCCGGTAGACCTCACAGTGGCTAGAGCATTCTGCCTTAGACTACAGAGTGTCGTGGGTTCGATTCCCACCTCGGGTGCAAATCATCATCTCGAATGCATTACCACTGTTTGCTTTTCCATTGCCTTGCTACCACATGTACACACCTATAATACCCACACATTGATAGTTTTCATTTCACGTGCCAACGAGGGAAATACAAATGCCTAACTTTCACGTAACAACAACACGGTAAAAATACATTTTTCATTTCACGAAACAACAAGGGAAATACATTTTCACTTTCATTGTTGTGACTCATCAAAGTTTCTGTGCACATACACACAGTGGATAAGGTAGTAAGTCTTATAGTGAAAATCTCAGATAACCTGTGTCATCCCTACGTATATGTACTACCGTACTTAGTGATGTATATACCTCCAACAAAGAAGACGAGTGATAGAAGACTGATAATCGCCTGGGCAACGACCCAGCCGACCCCGACATGCCCGGCCACTCCGGAGCGGTACACTCGGTACGTGATGTAGGTGTGGACCCACTGGTAGAGCATTCCCGCTGAGAACACTACAAACGCTCCGAGGAAATGAACTGCTGGAAACATAGTCATCTGTTGTGTGATAAAACCAGAATGGAATTTTGGCGAGCTAACGGGAACAGTTCAGTTCAATCTTCTCACACGTATTTGGAATTTGGGTGAGCGAGATGCGAGCAGTTCAATTTTTCGCACGTATTTAGAATGAAGTTCAATTTTTTGTGTGTCAAAATCATGTACAACATACGGTATGTGCAGTGGCAGTATAGGTGAAAACTTAGTGAAACTCTTGCCTTTAGACGGACTAGGTGGGCTCGATTCGCTCGCCAATAAGGGACATTCTTTTACTGGCCTATTCTAAACTGTTACTGTGCAAATCCTTTGAATAAGGGAAAATCTTGGGGACATTGAAGCCATATTCAGAGGTGTCCTTCATCCAGATTGTTCATTACGGTACAGACAGCACTACAAATACACGCTCAGCAAAACCAGCACAATTCAGACAACTACAGGCCGGTGCACTCGCTCACTTCTGCTGGTAAAGACTGTTACCTGAAAGTTGCCACAAGCAGAAACCGAATGAAGATGCCAGTCCGACGATAAACCAATGAAATTGAAGGCTGTCAACGGCAGACAAAACGTGGAGACTTGCGTGGCGTAGAATGTATGGACCGACTTGTAGCGCAAGTATACTATTAGGAGTTCTGTGTGGAGAGGGAGCTGGGAAGGGAGGAGGATGAGGGAGGGAGGGGAGTGAGAAGAAAGTAAAAAGAAAAGAAAAGAGAAGGTAAAATAATGACAGAGCAGCCAAATAAAGGGCTGATAAAGGGTTCAAAAGGACAAGGGTTTGGTTGAAATAGCATATTGAATCTTAATAAGGAACACATTGGGGACATTGAGCGTCTATTAGAGTCCTTATTCGGATGCAGTTATACACAAATGTATTAGTATGGGGCAGAAACCAAGTGTCCTTATAGAGAGGTGTCCTTATTCGGAGGGTTGTCACTGTATGTGAATGTTGATAGCGTACGAAAAAGGACGGCAGTGTTGCAGATGAAGAAAACACACAGCTTTCAGGTGGTTTTCGCCGACACTGGAAGAGGGGGAGAGAGAGAGAGGGGAAGGAAAGAGAGAGAGAGAGAGAGAGAAAGCGAGAGGGAGAGAGAGAGGAAGGAAGAGAGGGAGAGAGGAGGAGGAGGGGAAGGAAAAGTGAGGAGAGGGAGAGGGGAAGGAAGAGGGAGAGAGGAGAGAGAAGAAGAGAAAGGGGGAGAGGGATAGGAGGAGAGGGAGAGGAGAGGGAAGAGAGAGGAGAGGGAGAGAGGAGGAGAGAGGGAAGGAAGAGGGGAGAGAGCGAGGGGAAGGAGAGAGAAGAGGGACAGTCAGAGGGGTGAGAACAGGGGGAAAAAGGAGATGGGAATTAATCCCTAAAGGTGCAAGTAGTGTAAAACTAGTGGATCCAAAGTGACTTGCCGAACAAAAGCAGCAACAAGCACTTTCGATAACTAAGTAAAACTTTGCAAGCACCCTAATTTGTACTGGAGCGTGCAACAACAATCTATATATACCACGTTAAAACAATTTGGAATTGTACAACCACACAATGGTGTTCCGATCAATAAACTGAGCCCCTGATGCTATTGTACACACAACTACAGCGAGAAACATAATAGTAGTTCCAAGGTCACTACCTGATTTGGATGTAGGGCCGAGTAGGAGATCACGTGATGCGAGCTGCACTGAAATGCAGAATACCTGTTGTGTGCGAAAAGAATCATACGTTATGATATCCACACACATGCGATACTAATAAAGAGTCGCTATATACACATGTTGTTAGCTAGCTAATGTGCAGCACAAAAACAAAAAGCATCAAAATAGCTTAACAGATAGTATGGCCACAAACAACATACCCGCACAGGTGCGCGGCAGTGTGAGAAAAGAGCGGTGTGTGTAAACTATACACTCGCCTGGGAAACTAGCTAGTTTTCGAAGGTACTATAGCTATCTTGACTATAGACTACTACACGTCAGCAGAAAGCGAGAATTGTCAGGCGGCGAAGATTATGAGTCGCAATTCCACCCCAAACAGACCCATCTCTCCACTTTTCTACCAGAGATCGACGCTGGGGCGCAGGTACGCGACGTACGTGACTAGGGGTGTGGAAACTGAAAAAGCTCTTGTTTTTCCTGCTTGTTTCGCGCACGCGACTGGGCGGGGATGTCCCCCGGTATTATGCGAACGATCGAGTGCATGCAAAAGGGGGCGTAGCTGGTGAGCTGGTGTGTCGCCAGCAGTATATAGTAGACGATAGTGGAGAGAAGTCGGTAAGAAAACTAACGCAGTCACACGCATGCTCGGTCGCGTCCTTAGAAGTGCGTCCGAAGTAAAGCGTGAGCTGCGGATAACTATATTCGCGAGCCTCATAATGAAGCACACCCTGCTCTACAAGAGAAACCTGATTCTCCTGTAATACTTTCAATGTCACCACGGTGCCAGTGTATGTATGCCCAGACCCCCGTGAAATGTGCTTTATGTAGCATGCACGACGTTATTTACCATGAGATACTAACATATTAGATCCTTCTAACTCAATCGTAATGGCGTTCTCTAGGTTTCAAGGCTGGGTGCGGATGGGGGTGGCGGTTTGGCCGTGGAGTGGAGAGACTCATGTTTGCCAGTCCACAGGTCACCCACGAGACTTGGAATAGAACAGCGGACTTCGTGGAGAGCCCACAGAGGCGTGGCTCGCGTATACCGGGTGACTGGTATGCTGGTGTACTAGGATTCACTTTATAAGAGATTAATGCAAAGAAGAAACCACTACAGATCAGGGGTATAAAACCGATGCTTTTGACAAGAAGAAGATTGCTATTGGTTAGAAGCTTGCTATAGGAAGACTTAGTAAAGGATCATAAACGGTGTGAATATCCAGTCTTAGTTGAGTTCATCAAACATACATTTTACATAATGAGCACTTGACACTTCGAGAATGAGTTTTTAAATGTCACTGGTGCAAACTTGGAGAATGAATAAAAAAAGGACCTTGCACTTCGAAAGAAAGAAAAAAAAAGTAAAAAAACCACTCACTGGACAAGTTGGCCAACATGCTAGTGAAGCGGGGGCACTCAGTATTGTCAAACAGAGAGTGGGTCAGGGAGGAACCAGAGCTGTTCCCAGCCAGTGCTCTGACCACCTACCAGCTTCCAGCCCGGGATCGATCTCTCGACCACCGGAACCTTATACTGGTAGTCCCCACTTCTACTGATTGCGCCACATGAGTGACCCGAGAGCAGTAGTTGAATTTTGCCTTTATACCCACCAGTCAGTGAGGTTGAAAAAAGAAAAAGTGGTAGTTGACAGGCCTGAACCCAGGCAGCAGGAAAACCGTGTTCCACTTGCAAGAGCTTTAGCTACTAGACCATCAACTCATGGGAGTGTGTGACATGTAGCATCTCTACCAGGCTCGAATTCACTGGTAAACCATGTATATAAAGGCCAGCCACAATAAACATCCTTAGTCTTCTAAATTTCTTATAGGCACAAGAGTGGGCAAAGAGACAAACCAACTATCTTTAATACTTTTACTAAGGTTTTAGTATGGAACGGTAATTTTATCTATCTTGCGCAAATTTCGCAAGTCTATCCCCCCAAAATAAGGGTGTCAACAATTTCGCATTTTTTTATAGGCACAAGAGTGGGCGAGGACAAAAAACCAACTTTCCCTAATACTTTGACTACATTTGGTGTATGGAATGGTACTGTCTTCTTGCTGTTGCACCTATCCCTATATACCTCAACAAAATTTTTCTGTCCCCCCTAAATATACAAAGAGAGTGCAATTCAACTATATATCAGCTGCATGGATTCTAAGGACACTAATTTGTTATATCCTAGTGTCCCATATATAATAATAGTCCCAGTGTGGGACTACTAGGAGGCTCCACACAGCTGGTTACCATCATGATCCAGGCTTGTCAACAGGTCGTGATGCAACAATACTATTGCAATGTCGTTTCTCAAGTTGAGTGAGTTCTGAAGCCACTGGACTCGGGCCCACGCAGCAGACGTGGCTGGTACTTGGAGCTCAGCTCACTAGGTCGACAGTCTCTGGTTCGCAACAATGCCGTACCGGGCCCGCCAGAATACCAGACCGTACCGGTCTGTCACAGTGGTGGTCAGACAGCAGGCAGCGTTCAACTGCGTCAATCCACGATGGACGAGAGAGATGAGGACTTTAGAGATCCAGGTTAGACGCACCACATTTTTGTTGACTGTGTGGATCCTATACTTAAGATATTTTGTCTAATTCATAACGTCAAAATATAACTTCATGTATAGTAGATGCACGTGGAGATTTTTATGACTCAGTCAGAGTAGGAAAAGGGTGTAAGCACGCACAAGTCTTGTACGCAACAATAACATACTTCATCAACACGCACTAAGTTTATGCTCTGGTGTTCTTTAATTTGTGTGAATTCAGGGACACTGTACTAGCTTTTTGCTATGATTATTAAAAAATAAAACTTTCACCTCCAATGATCAGTATATTGATGTGCACTAAGCCCATTCAGAAGCAAGTGAAAATTTCGTGAGAGAGAGAAACTTTTCAGTCCCACTGGTGTCTGGATTAGAAGGTTCAACTTACATGCAGGCCGGGGACATATGAGCACAGTGTGACACAAGGACGTCAAGGTGGAAATGGAACGAAGCTTTCGGCTACAGCAGAAAGATTCGCAACGGCGCGTAATGAAGTGCACTGAATGGGATCCCAGAAGAGGTATCTTCATGGCTAGTTTAGTGTGGTCAGCTGGATATAAACCACCAACTATAGGGGCTGACTAGTTTATTCAAGATTATAGAAATACCCGCCAATATCCATGGTGCCATGCAGGTGCCAGTGCAATGTTCTGTAAGAGTGAATCCTTCATAATTATTGTGAAGTAAAGCACAGGCTGTCTTTACACCAAGAGGTAGAATGTGTGTGCGATGACTATCCATCTACAACCATTAAAGGATGCTCGCAAGGATCACTGAGGACGGTAGGACTTAGTTGGTATATAGTGTAATAGTCCTTGCAAGCAACGAGATGATGGCATTACTCATTGCGCGTGTAGCTAGCAGCACGAGACAGTTTTAATGAGGCATTCGCACGCAGGACGAGACTAATTAAGATGTGCTTAGCTATCGCAGTGCAGTCATTGCAAGCAGGAGACGGTTGGAGACTATTTCCGAGAGGAAAAGAAGATCCTCTGCAGCACATGTCACCAAGAACACAAGGACAAACACAGACTTCTAGCAAAAAGTACATAATCTGGACAGAGTTAATGAATGTCGAGAAGAGGGTTAGAGTTATAAGAAAAAAGTGAGTAGGGTAGCTATGTTGCTTATCACGAAGGCACGATCAGTAGTAGTAGCTACACCGGAATATAAGTTTATTATGGTGTGTGTCCGTAGTGCATATTTATCTGTGGCTGTATTATTTAACTCAGGAGGGAAAGCAAAGTAGCTGCAGTATGAAATGAGACTGTCACGGAGTTCACCATCACAGGTGTCCAGGGAAGACCCAAGATTCATGGTACAATAGCACATTACACGGTACGAATATGGTTTAGCACACCTCTGTGTAAGCTATTAAAGTGCACTTAGCACTGTGTGGTGATCCTAGCAAAGGCTTAACTGGCTATTTTTAGATACCCGTCTATCCTGTTTTCGTGCCCTCCCCAACACACACACACACACA